TCGACCAATTTATTAAGATTTACGTTTTCAAACGAGAGTGGCTCCCTCGTTTATGACAATGGTGCAGCTTTGCCACACAGGAAAGACGTAGCCTACAGCACAGAGTTTTGAAATGCATTCAGGGTTCCAGATGGGTTTGTATAGCATGTACAAAAGCCCTTATCAGTTCATCTTCATAGATGTCAGATTTACCTAGAGGAAACCTAAACTGGATACATCTATGCTGCATATTCCAGCAGGAGAGTAACAAAAAAACCGTTTTAACTTCAGTACATATTACTGCCTAATCTTGTTCCCCTCTAGGTTGCTAGGCTTGAAGAGGTAGAGACAGGCCTGGGGAAGGAGGTATACAAATTCTTTTTGGAAGAGACAAAAGTTCCTTTCTGCTAAACTTGTCTAGACATTATCAAAATACAAACATACTACAGGTGACAAAGTTTTTAGTGATATAATAAAACCCAAAAAATTATGGCATTTCTAAATCTGTCAGTTTATCACAAATATTAACTCTGTACAGTCATCTTGAAGCAAGATACAAAGAATCTAACGGGAATTCCAAAAGCATGTCCTTTACCTACAATTTGAGGTGAAGTGAACCATGCTTTTGGAGAACAGTAACATAACCAGTCCCTGCACAGATTAAGGACCTCAGCTACATTGCTGTTCCACTTTCACTCAGTTAAAAGTATTAACTAATATTCCTGAAAATTAGTATTCATGTACAAGTGTGGGATTCTGTATTATCTTCCAGTCAGATCAGCTCCCTGATCTGGTTTGAAGAACTGCTGCATGAGCAGCTGTATCAGTACAAGCTAGGTACTAGTGGAAGAATGGAGAAACATATCCACGTTAGCAGTGTTGCCAAAAGGCACTCTGCTGCCTAGGATGAGGCAAATAAGTTGTCATTGTTGAAAAAACTAGCTTTGAAGCACAACTGACATGTATTAGATTATTCATGTACCTATCCTGCAGAACTGTGCTAAAAAGTAGTCAGATCAGCTCCCTGATCTGGTTTGAAGAACTGCTGCATGAGCAGCTGTATCAGTACAAGGGAGGTACTAGTGTTGAAAAAATTAGCTTTGAAGCACAACTGACATGTATTAGATTATTCATGTACCTATCCTGCAGAACTGTGCTAAAAAGTAAAAACAAAACAACCTGACCTGGAAAAGAGTAAGTATCATGGAACTAGTAAAAGAATAATTTTTTTACCTTGAGTACAAAGCCTTTCACAATATCTGGGTGCCAAATATATAATCCCATTAAACAATGTCCTGAGCTCTTGGCTTGTTCAAAATTCACCTATCCTAATTACTAATCCAAAACTTTATTAATTGATACAGTTACAACACACTATCCACTTTACTAAAAAAATGAACTCATACTGTAGATTTAATAGTGACTTAACTGGGAATCAGTTCCTTCAGCAATCTTTCTGTAATGTCAGATGGAGTCTTACCGTTGTGGTGTTGAATAGTCGTATGTCATGAGACTGAAGCTGTCTATTGCTGAGGCCAACTGATCAAATTCTTTCTTTGTGAACATTCCTGGCTGGTTAGTCCTTTTAAAACAAAGCAAAACAAAAACAGGAAGAGATAAATTACTACAATAACCTGGCTTATTCTCTCCTTCAAGTTTCATACCATTTGATCAGGTAAGAAAAGTCTTTTATTCCAAGGTGGCAAAACCCAAGATATTGCAGTGCCATTCTTATAATAAATACCTAAGAAAAGAAATAAAATCAGTACTACTCACGTTGATAGTGGGAAGAATCAGACTTCCACACCATACTTACCAAATGAGCATTTCTAGCATGGCTACAATAATGATAAGGGATGTGGTATCAATCAACTGAACTCTAAAAGCTTTTACAAAACCTGTATTTGCTTGGTCTGTCAAGCTGGTTTTGATACTTATAAGACTAAGTTATCTAAGCCACACTTAAAAAAAATGGATAGGTGAAGCTGTCAATACAAAAACATAAACCAAAGGTAATTTTTTTATTCATCTCAAATACAACAGTAATTTCAGCTTGTACTGTACTTAAGACGTTTTCTCTCACTGGTAAAAAACATTTCAGTTTCTTTCCATTCCCTCCCAAAAAAAGTCATAGAAGCAGAAAGGCAACACAACTGCCTGATTTTAGCAGAAGACTATACAAACTTACAGCTTTAACAAAAGGGTATACAAACTATAAAAACTTACAACTCTCTTTAGACAAAACTGCACCCATTTCTTTCATCGGGGGGGAGGGAGGAAAGTGGGGAGAGGAAAGAGGGAAGGGGAAGAGAAGAAATCTACTCTATGACCTTCTCTAGACAGAAGTCTAGTTTGCCTTCTGCATATCTTTGCATGAGATACGGAACACAATTCTTCCCCCTTTTTTTGCTTATTCTTAATTTACAAAATCTAGCATTCGGTCAACATCTACTTTAGCTTCACGGTTGAGGGGTTGTATTTTTGACAGTTTTGGACTCATAGAGACTACCGACTTCCTTCAACCATTCAACTCCGAAACAATGCACACAAGTTGCCTGAAAACACTGACTCTGTTTCAAAGAGAATTCATTAACTTCGAACTAGCAGCACACATAGCAGCACACATAGCACAACAGGGAACATAAGGCAGCCTTAAGGGACTGAACAAAAAAGGAGAAGCTGTTGCCAGGCTAAGGGCTCTAAAGCACATTAAGCGCATTAAGATGAGACAGAGAGGTAACGTATTGTCCTAAACAGCTTGGGAGAGCAAGGTTCATAGAGGAACATAAGGAAAGGAGCGGGAAAGGCTAGAGGAAGAGAAAGAAGTGAGAGAAAAAAAAAAAATGGTGTTTTAACAGCTACAAACTCTGTGGTGCAACTCTGCCATTCATGGGCAGACTTAGAGGATTATACAAGATTTGTCTAGAGAGTACAGCAGTGACTGAAGATCCCAGACCTTCCCAGTAGTTATCATAAGCTGCTACTTGATACAGAAGTTAGTAGGCAACTTCTATCTAGACAAGGTACACATTCAAACCACTCATGTTCCATTTTAAATGTTAAAACCAACTCAGTGACAGATGCAAGTAATAAACTGAAAAAAAATCACCTTTTTTTGACCTGATCGCTTTTGGATCAGTGTGCGAATTCTTCATTCAACAATATGTACTAAATGGATCACCACAGCATAGCAGTGTTCACTTACCACTTTACTTTCTGTTCTACCATTCTATTGCATGAGGAGAAAGAATAACAGAATATAGGTTACACAGTGGAGCAGATTAAATTATTTAACGTGCCTGTCACGTTTAATAATTTAAGGGAGCAAAGCATGAATGATATTTGCAAGTCAGGTCAATGAACCTGATGAAACATACACTGGATTATGTAGCTGTAATCATGATGTATAGTGGAGCTCTGGAAGTCTCAAATTTTCAGAACTATTGATATACTTGTCATATTACAGAGAAATCCCATTCTTTTCCTTCTGTGGTTTTAACAAATTAAAACAGATCTTCACTCTGGAACCTACTGGTGGACCTCAGGGTTTTTTATAGTTATCTGCTTGTCATTTACTGCAATTGCAAACTACAGTTGTTCTACAAGAATAAAGAAAATGAAAGACATCTTTGAAACAATGTCATGGCAACTTGGATATCTGTAGGCAAAGCAACTCCCCAACACAAACTAGCAAAACACATTTTCAGTAAATTGACTGTCATTACTCATGAAGGGAAAAGCATAAAAAGTAATTATTATGTGTATTAGACATTAGCGCAAGTTGGATTGCTTTATAGATTAAGCTGGGTAGTACTTTAATGAAATTTATATGTGTAACTTGCCCTCTACATCCATTTTTCATATATACTGTCAAGGAATAAGAGAGGGGGAAGGAATAAAATTAAAACAAAAACAAAACCAGGTTGAAATGGAATCATTTTCTCCATTTTCTCCACAGCAAGCATGTAACTGAACTACTTCTGCTACACAGGAATGCCATCTCTGCTTGTCAACTTAAACTTTGTTGGCGAGTTCTTAACGAGTTCTACAAATCAGTCCATTCACAGGTAGTATTAAAACACCACCACTCTTCACAGAAAGCAACTACCGCTCACCAGCTCAAGCAGCACCACAAGTCAGCTCTGCTCTAGTCAAGCGCTTTGGGAAACTGTTCACCGGAGCAAAACTGTAAGTCTTTAATTCATGCCTTTAGAATCGTTCTGAGTCAAGAAAATCGGCACTCAAGGATAAAATCTGAATATTTTTCAACAGCTATTATGCTTCTTATCTGAAGTTTTCTAATCATTTTGATATTTAAGTATAAACTTAACTCAAAGGCAGGTATGTTCTACTGACTACATTGCTGAGAAAACCAGCACAGAGAAAGTCAAGAGACTTCACACAGAATATACAAAAAGTCAATGAGAATAAAAGTTTCCAATTCTAAGCCGATAGCCTGCCATTCTTCTGAGCCCCGAGTACTATTTCCAAAATACTCAGTGAAGTGACAGAAACTTCATCATCATTTATTAGCACTGTACAATATACATACTAAAGACAGTTTGTTATTAAATTGTCAGATGAGTAACCCCTTGGTGATTTTATCTGCTCATTATCAACATTACAAGTGTGAAGGAGCAAAAGTCAGGTGTATTAAAATGTATAATAGGAAAAGCAAATTATCTAATATACCTGAAAAGTCTCTTTGCATGGAATTAATCCTGACCTCTGAACTGCTTCATTTACTTTGAGTTCACCGTAAGACACAGTTCAAAAATTACATCTCATCTGGAGTCTAACAAACGTACTCATCAAAAGAGCTAAATTGAACACTGAATGCAAGAGAATCTGCTGTTTAAAGAAATCCTCTCCTACTGGCCTAAAAATACATTGAAATTATGAAACATGTACTATAAACATGAAACAATTTGGATTCAAGAAGTAAATTTAAGCAGAAAAGAGTATTTTTTTAATCTTAGCTTATACTAAATCTTTTTTATTGCTGTTCTAAGAGCCAGGCACTTCATATATTATTTGCATTTTGTATTTTTCTAACTGAATAGCTTAAGCAAATGTCATACAGTTTCCCTAAATTCTGCTCAAATGCACTAGTGTTCTTGCGCAATTCTTGTATCATTGTTCAACAGTTAACTCCGAAACTTATTAAATACTAGCAGTATCCCCAACTACTCAGGTTGAGAAACAACCATCTAATCTTGTCAAAAATTGCATGTATATGGACTGTAAAAGTTGCTCCAAGAGGAGAAATTCATCACAGATTAAATTTACAGCACTCTAACTGCAGTAAAAAATACCTCCGATACTATATATACACAACAAATCATTAATTTCAGCTAAGGTCTGGCTATCATGTCCATCATGATGTGTATAGGACATTATCCCAGATGTTCATGCTGGTTGGCAGCAGGGTCAATGTGAGTCAGCACTGTGCCCTGGCAGGCAAGACAGCAAACCACATTCTGAGGTGCACGAAACACAGTATAAGCAGACAGTCAAAACAGGTGATTTTCATGCTGCATTTAGCGTTGGTGCAGCCCCACCTTGAGTTCTGGGCACCACAATTTAAGAAGGATGTGAAGATATTTGAATGCATCCAGAGGATGATAACAAAGCTCGTGAAAGAGCTGGAAGGAATATCCTATGGGAAGCAGCTAAGGACTTTGGATTTAGTTTGGAGAAAAGAAGGTTGAGGGAAAACCTCATGGCTCTCTACAGCTTCCTGAGAAGGGGAAGTGGAGAGGTTTACATTTGATGTTAGGAAGCATTTTTTTACTGAGAGGGTGGTCAAACACTGGAACAGGCTTCCTAGAGAGCTGGTTTATGCCCCACACTTGTCGGTGTTTAAGAGGCATTTGGACAATGCCCTTAACAACTTGCTTTTTTGTCTGGTCAGCCCTGAAGTGATCAGGCAGCAGGACTAGGTGATCATTGTAGGTCCCTTCCAATAGAAAATATTCTCTCTTTCCTGTCTCTTTGTAGGCAACCACTGAGTTACTGAGAAAAAAAAAAAAAAAAAGATGTTTCCCAGAAAACACCTGTCCCTGAGATACATCAGCACTTCTGGTTTAGACCAGCCTATTTCCGAGGGTGAAGCTTCCACCACATGCTCTGAAGATGCATTTTCTTGGATAAAATACAAACTTCCCTGCTGAAGCTTTGTTTACCCAGCACAGTACTAGTATCTTCCCATTCTTAGCTATGTCACTTTTGACTTGACCGAGAAGTTTGTTTACTTTGTTGAGAGATTTGCCATTTCCATTTGCAGGCTCCTGACCCAAATTTATGCTGGACAACACAGCAAGACTAGAACAAATATGCCCTTGAAAGAGTCTTATTTGCACATATTCCTGACAATTCATAAGTATTTTCCTATGGCACACTTCTACATGTATATACAGAAACTACTATAGGGACAACATCACAGACTTGAAGAAATCACCTGCTTACCTTGGTATTTCTGTATACACAGCTTAAAGTTTCACAGTCTCTTTCTACAATTCTATATTCTTTTGCATCTAAAATAACTGCAGAGGAGTATGCGGTCATATGTATCAAAATTCC